GGCCAAAATTATTCAACCCCCAATGCTGTAAAGGGGTTTAGGGACTATAGTGTACATTTGGAATTGTATTCAGAATCAAATCCTACAAGGACGTTGTAACTACCCAAATGCAACTAAAAATGACATCAATTGTTTATGTAATACAGTAGTAAATGGTTCTTATGTGGTTTCTTCATTGCCACAATTATTCAACCCCTTAAAGACTACCACTCTGAAGAACAGAGGTTCATACAGGTGCTTTCCATCAGGTATTGAAAACACCTGTGGATGTCACCGAGCAGCAATCAAGCATAATAAGCACCAATTAGGCAGCTTTAAAATGACTGTGATACTCAGCTCCTTCTAGACATTTACTGGTGTGGTTACAAACATGGTGAAGGCAAGAGAATGGTCCAGGAAGACAAGAGAAGAGGTGATTTCTCTTCACAGGAAGGGCAATGGCTATAAGAAGATTGCAAAGATGTTAAACATACCAAGAGACACCTTAGGAAGCATCATTCGCAAATTCAAGGCAAAGGGCACTGTTGAAACGCTACCTGGTCGTGGCAGAAAGAAGATGCTGACTTCGACTGCTGTGCGCTACCTGAAGCGTAGAGTGGAGAGAAGTCCCCGTGTGACTGCTGAGGAACTGAGAAAAGATTTGTCAGATGTGGGTACAGAAGTTTCAGCCCAGACAATAAGACGCACACTGCGTAATGAAGGCCTCCGTTGCCAGAACTCCCAGGCGTACCCCCTTGCTGTCTCCAAAGAATAAGAAGAGTCGACTGCAGTATGCCAAAAGCCATGTGGACAAACCACAAAAGTTGTGGGATAGTGTTCTGTGGACTGATGAAACAAAATTAGAACTGTTTGGGCCCATGGATCAACGCTATGTTTGGAGGAGGAAGAACAAGGCCTATGATGAAAAGAACACCTTGCCTACTGTGAAGCATGGTGGAGGGTCAATCATGCTTTGGGGCTGTTTTGCTTCTGCAGGTACAGGGAAGCTTCAGCGTGTGCAAGGTACCATGAATTCTCTTCAGTACCAGGAGATATTGGATGGAAACGTGATGCAGTCCGTCCACACACCTGAGGCTTGGGAGACGTTGGACCTTTCAACAGGACAATGATCCCAAGCATACCTCCAAGTCCACTAGAGCATGGTTGCAGAGGAAAGGCTGGAACATTTTGGAGTGGCCATCGCAGTCACCAGACTTAAATCCGATTGAGAACCTCTGGTGGGACTTAAAGAAAGCAGTTGCAGTGCGCAAGCCTAAGAATGTGACTGAACTGGAGGCCTTTGCCCATGAAGAATGGGCGAAGATACCCGTAGATCGCTGCAAGACACTTGTGTCAAGCTATGCTTCACGTTTAAAAGCTGTTATAACTGTAAAAGGATGCTGTACTAAGTACTAAGATTGAATGTCACTTGGGGGTTGAATAAAACTGATAATGCTGTGAGCACAGAAAAGACATTTGTGGTTATTTCATTATAACTGTTATGTTATATTTGTCTGACCTACAAGTGCCTCTTTAATGTAAATGTAAGCAAGATGACTGAATGATCAAAAGCAATGTCAAACTGGCCAAAACACTCAATTTCAGTGGGGGTTGAATAATTTTGGCCACAACTGTATATGTCCAACATGGACCAGCAATGTACTGGTACATCACTGGACTTTGGCTATACCAGGATGGTGCCGGCAGCTACAGCCATCATCCTGCTATGGTTTTTTTTTTCAGCTGGTGGTCGGCTTTCATAGTAAAGCAATCCTAGTGGCCAATTAGCTGCTGGATCGATTTTACAAGCAGCGTGAAGGGACGCCTCCCCCCCATCCCCCACCTCCCGCCGCTTTCAACGACTTTCTTGAGCTCTACCTTCTCACCGGGGAACCTGGGACTGCAGCCGGCAGTTCCACCGGCTGACCATAGAGCTGATCAGAGACCGGAATGTCTCCAGTCATCTCTATAGTCTAAGAGACCAGAAGCTGCGAGCATTTCATCACTCCTGTTTCGACGGATAATAACGGCGCCATTTTTAAATTGGGAAAGCATCTGATCACACCGATCTTGGTGAGGTCACATGCTTTAAGGGCAGAGGAGAGATTTAGAGTCTAATAGACCCCAGATTTCTCAGAAAAGAGGACCTGTCACTGCCTATTGCTATCACAGGGGAGATTTACGTTCCCTGTGATAACAATAAAAGTGATCAAAAAGAAAAGGGGAAAAATAAAAAGAAAGCGACAATGTAAAAATTAAAAGAAAAAAAAAAAACACTCCTGACCCCCTTCCTGTGCGTCGGTCCCATGTCGGCATGTAAACAGAGATTACACCATACATGTGAGGTATCACCGCGAACGTCAGATCCAGGGCAGTATTTCTAGCACTAGATCTGTGTAAATATATAGTGACCTGTAAAGGCTTTTAAAAAGTTATTTTTTAAAAAATCTAATATAAAAATAAAACACCAACACTCCTTAATCCTTCTAAACGACACTAAAAAACGCTATTACCACAGATTTATATCCAACATGTTTTTTCGCGCTTACAAAAAATGCTAGTGTGCATGAAACCTAAATACATTTTTGAAAAATTTGGGATTTTTTTCACTTTTTTCCTGTATGTGTCTTTCATGGTCTATTTTAGCTGCCCAATTACTTTTTGCAATCTTTGTAGTGATGAAATTCTGAATGTGACCCTTCGGCTTTTTTCTCATTAATATTTATTTATTTATATTTTATAGCTACGTATATCGCGCTGTCAATTCACGCAGCTCTTTACATATATATTGTACATTCACATCAGTCCCTAACCCTCAAGGGGTGTTCAATCTAAGGTGCATTTATACACTTGAATTTAGCCACCCAGATACGTCAGACTGTCTACTTTACAAAAAGGGGTCATTTGGGGGATATCTGTACTGTCCTGACATTTGGGGGATATGTGTACCGTCCTGACATTTGGGGGATATCTGTACCGTCCTGACATTTGGGGGATATCTGTACTGTCCTGACATTTGGGGGATATGTGTACCGTCCTGACATTTGGGGGATATCTGTACCGTCCTGACATTTGGGGGATATCTGTACTGTCCTGACATTTGGGGGATATGTGTACCGTCCTGACATTTGGGGGGATATCTGTCCTGTTCTGACATTTGGGGGATATCTGTACCGTCCTGACATTTGGGGGATATCTGTACCGTCCTGACATTTGGGGGGATATCTGTCCTGTTCTGACATTTGGGGAATATCTGTACTGTCCTGACATTTGGGGGATATCTGTACCGTCCTGACATTTGGGGGGATATCTGTCCTGTCCTGACATTTGGGGGATATCTGTACTGTCCTGACATTTGGGGGATATCTGTACCGTTCTGACATTTGGGGGATATCTGTACCGTCCTGACATTTGGGGGATATCTGTACCGTCCTGACATTTGGGGGATATCTGTACCGTCCTGACATTTGGGGGGATATCTGTACCGTCCTGACATTTGGGGGATATCTGTCCTGTCCTGACATTTGGGGGATATCTGTACCGTCCTGACATTTGGGGGATATCTGTACCGTTCTGACATTTTGGGGATATCTGTATCGTCCTGACATTTGGGGGATATCTGTACCGTTCTGACATTTTGGGGATATCTGTATCGTTCTGACATTTGGGGGATATCTGTACCGTCCTGACATTTGGGGGATATCTGTCCTGTCCTGACATTTGCGGGATATCTGTCCTGTCCTGACATTTGGGGGATATCTGTACCGTCCTGACATTTGGGGGATATCTGTACCGTCCTGACATTTGGGGGATATCTGTACCGTCCTGACATTTGGGGGATATCTGTACCGTTCTGACATTTGGGGGATATCTGTACCGTCCTGACATTTGGGGGATATCTGTACCGTCCTGACATTTGGGGGATATCTGTACTGTCCTGACATTTGGGGGATATCTGTACTGTCCTGACATTTGGGGGATATCTGTACCGTCCTGACATTCTTGGACCTCAAGAAATTAGATTGGCCGTCAGTACTTCAGGATTGATCAATAATCAGATCTATACCATAGTTTGTGAACTCTATAACTTTCCTACAGATAAATAATACATCCTAATTTGGGTTATTGTCACCAAAGACATGTAGCAGAATACATCTCGGCCTAAATTTATGAAGAACAATTATTTATTTGCAAACTTTTTATAACAGAAACAAAGAAAAACGTGTTTTTTTTTTCAAAATGTTTGGTCTTTTTTTGTTAATTTAGCAAAAAATAAAAACCCCAGCGGTGATTAAATACCACAAAAAGAAAGCTCTAGTTGTATGAAGAAAATGATAAAATTTTAGTTTGGGTACAATGTTGCATGACCGCGCAATTGTCAAAGTGTGAGCGCTGAAAACGTGAAAAAAACTGTCCTGGGCAGGTAGGGAGTGAATGTGCCCGGTATGGGAGGGGTTAATGTCTTAAACAGCCAATGCACACAACTCCAGGAACTGGAGGTCACGTGTTTCCTGTCCCATATTTCCTGTGTATACCTTTCAAAGGGGGTGGCTGCGGACTGGGTGTGAGGTGGAGCTCTACTCTGGACAGGAAACATGTGACCTCCACTCCAACTTTATCCCCTGTAGTGACCTGAAAGAATAAAGTGGATGGAGGTCACGTGCTTCCTGTTGAGCGGAGCTCCACTCCGCAGACTCTACTTACATTGCAGTAAAGTTCATTACAAAAAAGAGGAAGTGGAGGTCACATGTTTCCTGTCGAGAATGGAGCTCCATTCTGCAGCCAGACTAGTGTATGTCGTCGCTACACCGGAAGTCCCTTCACTTTCGCAGCCATCCAATGGGCGCTTAGCACTGCCTAGCAAGGTAGCACCGGACCGTACCAACACTCTCCCCGGCCGGGGGGGGGATCCCCGTCCCCCTCTAGGATGGATCTCAGGAGAGGAGTCCGGGGATGGATGTACACCTGAATAGTACAGAACTCCCCCCATTATTTATACATCTCCGGAGAGGATTCGGGGGATGTATTATCCGGGATGGAGGTATGAAGTGTCTCCCCCCTCCTCCCGGTGTCACTGCTCGGTGCCGTTGCTATGGAAACCCCATAACATTCCCTTGCCTGTCCTGAATGGATGGATGAGGGGTGATTGATTATTGATTGGAAGTGATCAGCCGATCGGTGACGGAGAGCGCCGTGTCCATGTGAGCAGTCCTAGCTGAAATATGAGACTGTCAGAGCTGCACGGCCAATGTGGGATTGGGTGGGCTCCCATTATAGAGGTGTGTGGGGTCATTGGAGGGGATGACAAACATTCTGCTGAATGGATGAGGAACGGAGAGTGCCGAGTACAGAGCTCCCCGTCCTCTGGAAGGACTGTGATGGTGGTGAGGTAAGCGTGCTGCGGTGGTGAGGTAAGAGCGCGTTGGCGGTGAGGTAAGCGTGTGGTGGCTGTGAAGCGTAAGTGTACGGTGGTGGTGAGGTAAGTGTAGGGTGGAGGTGAGGTAGGGTGAGTACGGTGGAGGTGAGGTAAGTGTACGGTGGTGGTGAGGTAAGTGTACGGTGGAGGTGAGGTAAGTGTACGGTGGAGGTGAGGTAAGTGTACGGTGGAGGTGAGGTAAGTGTGTACGGTGGAGGTGAGGTAAGTGTGCGGTGGAGGTGAGGTAAGTGTGCGGTGGAGGTGAGGTAAGCGTGCGGTGGCGGTGAGGTAAGCGTGCGGTGGCGGTGAGGTAAGCGTTGTTGGCGGGGGGTGGCGGTGAGGTAAGCGTACGGTGGCGGTGAGGTAAGTGTACGGTGGCGGTGAGGTAAGTGTACGGTGGTGGTGAGGTAAGTGTACGGTGGTGGTGAGGTAAGTGTAGGGTGGAGGTGAGGTAAGTGTACGGTGGTGGTGGTGAGGTAAGTGTACGGTGGTGGTGAGGTAAGTGTACGGTGGTGGTGAGGTAAATGTACGGTGGAGGTGAGGTAAGTGTACGGTGGAGGTAAGTGTACGGTGGTGGTGAGGTAAGCGTGTGCGGTGGCGATGAGGTAAGTGCGCAGTGGTCAGTTCTCCCTCACATTTAACCCCTTGATGATGAAGGAACAGCACACCCCCGCACAGTCCTGCAGCTCTGACTTGTGTCAGTAAATCTATACAATGCCTGACGTCTCCTCCCTGGATCCGGGTGAATATGTCTTCTCTTTTCCAGGATAAGTCCGGCGTGGTCAGTCGCACACATTGGAGGATTTCTCCTGACCCGGAATCATCTCCCTTCTCCTGACAAGCGCAGCGACACCATCTATGTGAGTGATATTCCATGTCTGTACACATTGCACACATTTTGCCTTTTTTAGTGACACACTGAGAGCCAATCACAGGCCACCGCTGCGGTCAGGTGACTTCTGACTCCCGATCCTCAGTAGCAGACCCGGAGGTGTCGGTGACAGCTCGCTCTCAGCACACACACACATATTCCATCTCCCTTAGATCTGATGTGAAGTGCAATGCCTACCGTGCCGGCCGGGGGATGGGCGGGGGGCGGGGCCTAGTACATGATTGTCGTCCATCTACAGGAGATTGTACGGAGATTGTATAGTGTATGGCCGGCTATAGGACCTGGCAGTGGCTTGTGTTGGCCTCAGGCGGGTTTTATATTTACATACAATTCTACGGGAATACAAAACCTGCTGGAAGTCGGATCCTCCAATCGATGAATTCCGATCCCAATCTGATGGGAAAGCGGTGTCACCGACACAATCCGCCCCTCCACACCGGACTTCACCCCGAGGATGGGGCGCAATCCTCCCACTGACACCAACAATGGGGCGCAATCCTCCCACTGACACCAACAATGGGGCGCAATCCTCCCACTAACACCAACAATGGGGAACAATCCACCCACTGACACCAACAATGGGGCGCAATCCTCCCACTGACACCAACAATGGGGCGCAATCCTCCCACTGACACCAACAATGGGGAACAATCCACCCACTGACACCAACAATGGGGCGCAATCCTCCCACTGACACCAACAATGGAGCTCAATCCTCCCACTGACACCAACAATGGGGAACAATCCTCCCACTGACACCAACAATGGAGCTCAATCCTCCAACTGACATCAACAATGGGGAACAATCCTCCCACTGACACCAACAATGGAGCTCAATCCTCCAACTGACATCAACAATGGGGAGCAATCCTCCCACTGACACCAACAATGGGGCACAATCCTCCCACTGACACCAACAATGGGGACAATCCTCCCACTGACACCAACAATGGGGCACAATCCACCCACTGACACCAACAATGGGGAACAATCCTCCCACTGACACCAACAATGGGGAGCAATCCTCCCACTGACACCAACAATGGGGCGCAATCCTCCCACTGACACCAACAATGAGGCACAATCCACCCACTGACACCAACAATGGGGAACAATCCTCCCACTGACACCAACAATGGGGGCACAATCCACCCACTGACACCAACAATGGGGAACAATCCACCCACTGACACCAACAATGGGGAGCAATCCTCCCACTGACACCAACAATGGGGCGCAATCCTCCCAGTGACACCAACAATGAGGCGCACATCCCCACTGACACCAACAATGAGGAGCAATCCACCCACTGACACCAACAATGAGGGCGCAATCCACCCACTGACACCAACAATGAGGCGCAATCCACCCACTGACACCAACAATGAGGCTTAATCCTCCCACTGACACCAACAATGAGGCGCACAATCCACCCACTGACACCAACAATGAGGCGCAATCCACCCACTGACACCAACAATGAGGCGCAAGCCTCCCACTGACACCAACAATGGGGCGCAATCCTCCCAGTGACACCAACAATGGGGCAATCCACCCACTGACACCAACAATGAGGCGCAATCCACCCACTGACACCAACAATGAGGCGCAATCCACCCACTGACACCAACAATGGGGCAATCCTCCCACTGACACCAACAATGGGGGAACAATCCTCCCACTGACACCAACAATGGGGCACAATCCACCCACTGACACCAACAATGGGCACAATCCACCCACTGACACCAACAATGGGGCACAATCCACCCACTGACACCAACAATGGGGAACAATCCACCCACTGACACCAACAATGGGGAACAATCCTCCCACTGACACCAACAATGGGGCACAATCCACCCACTGACACCAACAATGGGGCACAATCCACCCACTGACACCAACAATGGGGAGCAAATCCTCCCACTGACACCAACAATGGGGCGCAATCCTCCCACTGACACCAACAATGAGGCACAATCCACCCACTGACACCAACAATGGGGAACAATCCTCCCACTGACACCAACAATGGGGCACAATCCACCCACTGACACCAACAATGGGGAACAATCCTCCCACTGACACCAACAATGGGGAGCAATCCTCCCACTGACACCAACAATGGGGCTCAATCCTCCCACTGACACCAACAATGGGGAACTCAATCCTCCCACTGACACCAACAATGGGGCACAATCCACCCACTGACACCAACAATGGGGCACAATCCACCCACTGACACCAACAATGGGGAACAATCCACCCACTGACACCAACAATGGGGAGCAATCCTCCCACTGACACCAACAATGGGGCGCAATCCTCCCAGTGACACCAACAATGAGGCACAATCCACCCACTGACACCAACAATGAGGCGCAATCCACCCACTGACACCAACAATGAGGCTTAATCCTCCCACTGACACCAACAATGAGGCTTAATCCTCCCACTGACACCAACAATGAGGCGCAATCCACCCACTGACACCAACAATGAGGCGCAAGCCACCCACTGACACCAACAATGGGGCGCAATCCTCTGACACCAACAATGGGGCGCAATCCTCCCAGTGACACCAACAATGGGGCGCAATCCTCCCAGTGACACCAACAATGGGGCGCAATCCTCCCAGTGACACCAACAATGAGGGAACAATCCTCCCAGTGACACCAACAATGGGGAACAATCCTCCCAGTGACACCAACAATGGGGCCAAATGACACCTGACTTGTAGTTTTCTTGTTGGTCAGTGTCCAATCCTCCTATGGGTGGCGATGGAACACAAAGGTCATCACTTCCGACGTCCCTCAGTGGACGTCAAGAAAAGGAATTTAGAAATTCGATCATTTTCTCTTCCTCCAGGTTTTAGAAATGAGCAAACGTATCGACAACGACGGTGTGATGGGACCCCCCATAGACCTCGCCTTCAAATGTATCAACTCCATGGAAGGTAAGCGGAGACACAACCTGAGGTCTACACCCCACTGACATCAGTCTCTGTACCAGAGGAGCTTACACTCTAATGTCCCCTCCCCCACTGACATCAGTCTCTGTACCAGAGGAGCTTACACTCTAATGTCCCCTCCCCCACAGACATCAGTCTCTGTACCAGAGGAGCTTACGCTCTAATGTCCCCTCCCCCACTCCCATCAGTCTATGTACAGAGGAGCTTACACTCTAATGTCCCCCCCACAGTCACATCTGTCTCTGTACCAGAGGAGCTTACACTCTAATGTCCCCTCCCCCACAGTCCCATCAGTCTCTGTACCAGAGGAGCTTACACTCTAATGTCCCCTCCCCCACAGTCCCATCAGTCTCTGTACCAGAGGAGCTTACACTCTAATGTCCCCTCCCCCAGTCCCATCAGTCTCTGTACCAGAGGAGCTTACACTCTAATGTCCCCTCCCCCACAGTCACATCATTCTCTGTACCAGAGGAGCTTACACTCTAATGTCCCCTCCCCCACTGACATCAGTCTCTGTACCAGAGGAGCTTACGCTCTAATGTCCCCTCCCCCACTGACATCAGTCTATGTACAGAGGAGCTTACGCTCTAATGTCCCCCCCCCACTCACATCAGTCTCTGTACCAGAGGAGCTTACACTCTAATGTCCCCTCCCCCACAGTCCCATCAGTCTCTGTACCAGAGGAGCTTACGCTCTAATGTCCCCTCCCCCGCAGTCCCATCAGTCTCTGTACCAGAGGAGCTTACACTCTAATGTCCCCTCCCCCCAGTCACATCAGCCTCTGTACCAGAGGAGCTTACGCTCTAATGTCCCCTCCCCCCAGTCCCATCAGTCTCTGTACCAGAGGAGCTTACACTCTAATGCCCCTCCCCCACAGTCACATCATTTTCTGCACCAGAGGAGGTGACACTCTAATGTCCCCTCCCCCACAGTCACATCAGACTCTGTACAGAGGAGCTGACACTCTAATGTCCCCCCCCCACAGTCACATCAGACTCTGTACAGAGGAGCTGACACTCTAATGTCCCCCCCCCCCCCCCCCCCCCACAGTCCCATCAGTCTGTAAACATAACCTGCAATAAATAACAGAAGATCTGTAATAGAAGCACAGAGGCTTCCATCGGTGACCTCGGCTGTAAATGCTGGTTGCCTGGCTGTCATGCACATCCCCTTGGCTCAGCTGCAGACGTTTGTCCGGGTCATTCACACAGAAATGACTGAAGCCAAGGACAGCCAGGTAAGCATTTCTCCAATGGCCACCCACTGTTAGCTCAGGCTTCCTTGAAGGAACGTTCCCAGTGGAGGAGTTCAGGGTCAGGAATCAGAGGGACTGGAGACGTTATCAGTAGGAGACATTATGGACTGGGCTTTGGGTCGGGTTCTGATACCAGACAAACCCCACAGGCCCTCTCCATGTATGATTCAGATGGGGTGCTGGGAGGGGGTGGAGTTGGTGCAGGCCCACTTGATGCATGATCGGGTGGGTGCAGGAACGGGGGGGGGGGGGGGAGTTGGTGCATGCATGGTTCAGGTGGGGTGCAGGGAGGGGGGTGGGAGTTGGTGAAGGCCCACTCCATGTATGATTCAGGCGGGGTGCAGGGAGGGGGGTGCGAGTTGGTGAGTTGGTGCAGGCCCACTCCATGCATGGGTCAGGCGGGGTGCAGGGAGGGGAATGGGAGTTGGAGCAGGCCCACTCCATGCATGGTTCAGGTGGAGTGCAGGGACAGGGGTGAGAGTTGGTGCAGGCCCACTCCATGTATGATTCAGATGGGGTGCTGGGAGGGGGTGGAGTTGGTGCAGGCCCACTCTATGCATGGTTCAGACGGGTTGCGGAAACGGGGGTGGGAGTTGGTGCAGGCCCACTCCATGCATGGGTCAGGCGGGGTGCAGGGACGGGGGTGGAGTTGGTGAAGGCCCACTCCATGCATGGTTCAGTTGGGGTGCAGGGACGGGGGTGGAGTTGGTGAAGGTCCCACTCCATGCATAGTTCAGATGAGGTGCAGAGACGAGGGTGGAGTTGGTGCAGGCCCTCTCCATGCATGGTTCAGGTGGGGTGCAGAGACGGGGGTGGAGTTGGTGAAGGCCCTCTCCATGCATGGTTCAGGTGGGGTGCAGGGAGGGGGGTGGAGTTGGTGAAGGCCCTCTCCATGCATGGTTCAGGAGGGGTGCAGGGAGGGGGATGCAAGTTGGTGCAGGCCCCTCTCCATGCATGGTTCAGGTGGGGTGCAGGGACGGGGGGGAGTTGGTGAAGGCCCTCTCCATGCATGGTCCAGGGGGGGTGCAGGGACGGGGGTGGAGTTGGTGAAGGCCCTCTCCATGCATGGTCCAGGTGGGGTGCAGGGACGGGGGTGGAGTTGGTGAAGGCCCTCTCCATGCATGGTTCAGTTGGGGTGCAGGGACGGGGGTGGAGTTGGTGAAGGTCCTCTCCATGCATAGTTCAGATGAGGTGCAGAGACGAGGGTGGAGTTGGTGCAGGCCCTCTCCATGCATGGTTCAGGTGGGGTGCAGAGACGGGGGTGGAGTTGGTGAAGGCCCTCTCCATGCATGGTTCAGGTGGGGTGCAGGGAGGGGGGTGGAGTTGGTGAAGGCCCTCTCCATGCATGGTTCAGGAGGGGTGCAGGGAGGGGGATGCAAGTTGGTGCAGGCCCTCTCCATGCATGGTTCAGGTGGGGTGCAGGGACGGGGGTGGAGTTGGTGAAGGCCCTCTCCATGCATGGTCCAGGTGGGGTGCAGGGACGGGGGTGGAGTTGGTGAAGGCCCTCTCCATGCATGGTCCAGGTGGGGTGCAGGGACGGGGGTGGAGTTGGTGAAGGCCCTCTCCATGCATGGTTCAGGTGGGGGGGTGCAGGGACGGGGGTGGAGTTAGTGAAGGCCCTCTCCATGCATGGTCCAGGTGGGTGGGGTGCAGGGACGGGGTGGAGTTGGTAAAGGCCCTCTCCATGCATGGTTCAGGTGGGGTGCAGGGAGGGGGATGCAAGTTGGTGCAGGCCCTCTCCATGCATGGTTCAGGTGAGGTGCAGAGACGGGGGAGGAGGTAAAGGGTGAGGAGGGGAGAAGATGGACAGTGTAGAGGGATCAGGGGAAGGGCAGATCTGTGATCTTCTATAGAAATTGGGATCCCTGAAGTCCAGGCCTTGTTGCAGATGGCCCACAGTTTGGACGATCTATTCTCACCCTCTGTACTGCCCCCTACAGATGTCCTACAGGAATATCCCCGAGAGGGCCTGAGGCCCACAAAACGTGGAGAAGACGGAAAGCTGCACAGCCAGGCGCTGAGGCTTAACAACAACACCCTGACCGACCTCCGCGGGTTCAAGGAGGTGGTGAGCAACCTGCTGAGCGACCCTTCCCACCTCTGCTGGATAGACCTCTCCTTCAATGACCTCCCCAACATCGACCCAGTAAGTGCGCCCCCTACTGTCCACAATTGTGTCTTCCTCCTTGTGGCGCTGTCTGAGCATGTCTGTTCTCTACCCGAGACTACCATTATGTGTAAGAATTCCAGAACCCCATTATGGTGGTCAGTGTAAGAATGTCCCTCAGGGGGTCAACCCCATCACATTGGGGTCAGTGGGAAGAATGTCCCTCACATTGGGGGTCAGTGGGGAGAAAGTCCCTCACATTGGGGGTCAGTGGGAAGAATGTCCCTCACATTGGGGGTCAGTGGGAAGAATGTCCCTCACATTGGGGGTCAGTGGGAAGAAAGTCCCTCACATTGGTGGTCAGTGGGAAGAATGTCCCTCACATTGGTGGTCAGTGGGAAGAATGTCCCTCACATTGGGGGTCAGTGGGAAGAATGTCCCTCACATTGGGTGGTCAGTGGGAAGAATGTCCCTTACATTGGGGGTCAGTGGAAGAATGTCCCTTACATTGGGGGTCAGTGGGAAGAATGTCCCTTACATTGGTGTCAGTGGGAAGAATGTCCCTTACATTGGTGGTCAGTGGGAAGAATGTCCCTTACATTGGTGGTCAGTGGGAAGAATGTCCCTCACATTGGTGATCAGTGGGAAGAATGTCCCTTACATTGGGTCAGTGGGAAGAATGTCCCTTACATTGTCAGTGGGAAGAATGTCCCTTACATTGGGGTCAGTGGGAAGAATGTCCCTTACATTGCGGGTCAGTGGGAAGAATGTCCCTTACAATGGGGTCAGTGGGAAGAATGTCCCTTACATTGGTGGTCAGTGGGAAGAATCCCTTACATTGGGGATCAGTGGGAAGAATGTCCCTTACATTGGGGGTCAGTGGGAAGAATGTCCATTACATTGGTGGTCAGTGGGAAGAATGTCCCTTACATTGGGATCAGTGGGAAGAATGCCCCTTACATTGGTGGTCAGTGGGAAGAATGTCCCTTACATTGTGTCAGTGGGAAGAATGCCCCTTACATGGGTCAGTGGGAAGAATGTCCCTTACATTGGTGGTCAGTGGGAGAAGAATGTCCCCTTACATTGATGATCAGTGGGAAGAATGTCCCTTACATTGGTGGCAGTGGGAAGAATGTCCCTTACATTGATGATCAGTGGGAAGAATGTCCCTTACATTGGTGGTCAGTGGGAAGAATGTCCCTTACATTGGGGGTCAGTGGGAAGAATGTCCCTTACATTGGGGGTCAGTGGGAAGAATGTCCCTTACATTGGGGTCAGTGGGAAGAATGTTCCTTACATTGGGGATCAGTGGGAAGAATGTCCCTTACATTGGGGGTCAGTGGGAAGAATGTCCCCTTACATTGGTGGTCAGTGGGAAGAATGTCCCTTACATTGGTGGTCAGTGGGAAGAATGTCCCTTACATTGGTGGTCAGTGGGAAGAATGTCCCTTACATTGGGGGTCAGTGGGAAGAATGTCCCTTACATTGGTGGTCAGTGGGAAGAATGTCCCTTACATTGGGGTCAGTGGGAAGAATGTCCCTTACATTGGTGGTCAGTGGGAAGAATGCCCTTACATTGGGGGTCAGTGGGAAGAATGTCCCTTACATTGGTGGTCAGTGGGAAGAATGCCCCTTACATTGGAGGTCAGTGGGAAGAATGTCCCTTTACATTGGGGTCAGTGGGAAGAATGTCCCTTACATTGGTGATCAGTGGGAAGAATGTCCCTTACATTGGTGATCAGTGGGAAGAATGTCCCTTACATTGGGGGTCAGTGGGAAGAATGTCCCTTACATTGTGGTCAGTGGGAAGAATGTCCCTTACATTGGGGGTCAGTGGGAAGAATGTCCCTTACATTGGGGGTCAGTGGGAAGAATGTCCCTTACATTGGTGATCAGTGGGAAGAATGTCCCTTACATTGGTGATCAGTGGGAAGAATGTCCCTTACATTGGTGGTCAGTGGGAAGAATGTCCCTTACATTGGTGATCAGTGGGAAGAATGTCCCTTACATTGGTGATCAGTGGGAAGAATGTCCCTTACATTGGTGTCAGTGGGAAGAATGTCCCTTACATTGGTGTCAGTGGGAAGAATGTCCCTTACATTGGGGATCAGTGGGAAGAATGTCCCTTACATTGGGGGTCAGTGGGAAGAATGTCCCTTACATTGGTGATCAGTGGGAAGAATGTCCCTTACATTGGTGATCAGTGGGAAGAATGTCCCTTACATTGGGGTCAGTGGGAAGAATGTCCCTTACATTGGGGGTCAGTGGGAAGAATGTCCCTTACATTGGGGGTCAGTGGGAAGAATGTCCCTTACATTGGGGGTCAGTGGGAAGAATGTCCCTTACATGGGAACACAGGAAATGTAGCTTACAGAGGGTAAGTGAATAGGAGATTTTTTTTTTTTATACAGGCATGAGGGGGTTCATAATTTAATAAAACTTTATACAGTGAGACATTTTTGGTTTACGGACAGGCGGGGGGGGGGGGGTATTTATAAAACTCTTTGTTGCCCAATTGTCAGAAGCATCCCTACAAGCTGCACGAAATATCACTGTAATTTTTATGAGATGAATTCGCGAATCTTCAGCTCCATCTAGTGGCCACAATGTGGTAATTTTTTTTTTAAATACCTATACCACATTTTGGCCACTTGATGGAGCTGACGATTCAGGAATTCATCTCTTGGGAAAATTACTGTGATATTTCCTTCAGCTTCCATGGATTTTCTGACATTGGTGCAAGAAATGTTGTACAACAGGAACACTTACATTCTTTTATATATATATATAGATGACTTGGAGGGATTTTGTTTTTTTCATTGCAGTAAAATGGAATTTCAGTGTAATATTTTTTATTATTATTATATGGCCCCTGTGGCAGTGATTTTGGGGTTTTTTCATTGGGCAGGTCCTGACTACATACCGTCATCTTTCTGTACTGAATCTCCACGGTAACAGCATTCGTCAGCTGACAGAAGTCGATAAACTCGCCGCCCTGCCCAATCTGAAGAGCCTGACACTGCACGGGAACCCCATCGAGGCCGAGGGGAGGTACAGGTGAGCCCCCCTATGTTCACGATTAGGCTGAGACACACGATTATTATTATACCGGCTTTATATGGCGCCAACAGTGTGCGCAGCGCTGTACAAAATGAAGGCGGACATTACAGTTACAATACAATTTGGTACAAGAGGACACAGAGGGCCCGGCTCCTGGGAGCTTACCATCTAGGAGGAAGGGTTGAGGGATACAAAAGGTAATAGCTGTGGGGGGGGGGGAGCTGATGGAGGAAATAAATGGCAGTTTACTAGGTAGAAGCAGGAGAGGCTTTTATGGAATAGATTAGGAGATAGCCGGACAGATTGGGGTGGGGAGTTCCATAGGATGGGAGAAGTCCTAGAGGCAAGCATGGGAGGAGGTGACACAGGAACTAGAGAGCAGAAGGTCTTGGGAGGATCGAAGAAAGCAGTTTCAGACAAGGTTGGTGATGTAGCTGGGGGCAGAGCTGTGGATGGCTTTGTAAGTCGTTGTTAGTATTTTGAATTGTATTTGTTGGGCGAGTGGAGGCCAGTGGAAGGATTGCAGAGAGGGGTGGAGGACACCGATTGGAGACCAGTGGAGGGATTGGCAGAGAGGGGTGGAGGACACTGAATGGAGGCCAGTGGAGGGATTGCAGAGAGGGGTGGAGGACACTGAATGGAGGCCAGTGGAGGGATTGGCAGAGAGGGGTGGAGGACACTGAATGGAGGCCAGTGGAGGGATTGCAGAGAGGGGTGGAGGACACTGAATGGAGGCCAGTGGAGGGATTGGCAGAGAGGGGTGGAGGACACTGAATGGAGGCCAGTGGAGGGATTGCAGAGAGGGGTGGAGGACACTGAGTGGAGGCCAGTGGAGGGATTGGCAGAGAGGGGTGGAGGACACTGAGTGGAGGTCAGTGGAGGGATTGTTAGAGAGGGGTGGAGGACACTGAGCAGAGGTCAGTGGAGGGATTGCAGAGGGGGGTGGAGGACACTGAGCAGAGGTCAGTGGAGGGATTGGCAGAGAGAGGTGGAGGACACTGATTGGAGACCAGTGGAGGGATTGGCAGAGAGGGGTGGAGGACACTGAATGGAGGCCAGTGGAGGGTTGCCGAGAGGGGTGGAGGACAGTGAGTGGAGGTCAGTGGAGGGATTGGCAGAGAGGGGTGGAGGACACTGAATGGAGGCCAGTGGAGGGATTGGCAGAGAGGTGTAGTATGGGACTGCTGTGTGAGGTCCTGATCATGTGATCACTGATTGGCCAATCAGTGATCACATGCAGAGTAGTAAGCAAGCTGTCACTTCCTGACATCATTGCTTACTATGTGTGAAATCTGTGAATGATCACAGAGATCACATGGTACAGGGCCATTCACAACAGCCTCGTACCATGTGACAAGTTGTGACCAATCACAGCTCACACAGTATTTCTCAATGGCTGCAAGAATGCAGCCAGAGGGAAGGAGAAATTATTGCTTTTACACCCATAAAGGCTGTAAAAGCAATCAGTTAAAAAAAAAAAAAAAAATCTTCATCACCCCCCCACGAGTAGTACAGTATCACCATGGTGACACTGTACTGCTAGGGTGGCAGTATGTAAAAAACAAACAAAAAAAAAAACACATAAATAATATTAAAAAAAATTAAATAAATTTGTGGGGTTTTTTTTTCTTACCAAAAAGATAGATGAATACATTTTGGCCGAGATTTATGAAGAAAGATTATTTATTTGCAAAATTTTATAAGAAAAAAAACACTTTTTAATAAAAACATTTTTGGTCTTTTTCATTTATATAGCAAAAAAATAAAAATCTCAGTGCTGAATAAATACCACTAAAAAAAGTTTTATCTGTCTCAACAAATGCTACAAAATTCATCTGGGTACAGTGTTGCATGACCGCACAATTGTTATTCAAAGTGTGATAGCACTGAAAGCGGAAAGGCCTGGACTGGAAGGGAAAGTGTCCGGGACTGGAAGGAGGGAAAGTGTCCGGACTGGAAAAGGGGGGAAAAGTGTCCGGACTGGAAGGGGGGGAAAGTGTCCGGAAAGGGGGGGGGGAAGTCCAGGACCGGACTGGAAGGGGGGGAAAGCGTCCGGACTGGAAGGGGGGGAAAGCGTCCGGACAGGAAGGGGGGGGAAAGCGTCCGGGAAGAGGGGAAAGCGTCCGGAAAGGGGGGGAAAGCGTCCGGAGGAAGGGGGGGAAAGCGTCCGGACTGGAAGGGGGGGGAAAGCGTCCGGACTGGAAGGGGGGGAAAGCGTCCGGACTGGAAGGGGGGAAAGCGTCCGGACTGGGGAAAGCGTCCGGACTGGAAGGGGGGGAAAGCGTCCGGACAGGAAGGGGGGGAAAGCGTCCCGGACTGGAAGGGGGGGGAAAGCGCCCGGATTAAGGGGGGGGAAAGCGTCCGGACTGGAAGGGGGGGGAAAGCGTGTTTTGTTTTTTTTTTTTTTTTTTTTTTTTTCAAACTGTGCCTTTTAATTTTTTTTTTTAATCAACTTTATTGGTATCACAAGGGATGAACGTCCATTTTGATAGCATGGGCCATGACAGGTCTTCTTTTTGGAGAGATCTGGCGTCTATTAGAACAAAATAAAAACTGTTCATTGTGCTGTTTTTGAAAACTTTTTTGTTTTTCCCCCCAAGTTGCCCTTCGCTGTGTATATTCCTGGTTTTTACCTCCTGTTATGTCCATTGCTCCCCCACAGGCCCTACATACTGTCCGTCCTCCCGCAGCTCAAGAGCTTCGATTTCAGCGCTGTCACCAAGCAAGATCGAGTCAGTGCCGACGTCTGGAGCCGAATGAACGGCAAACCGAAGAAAGTCCGGGGAACTAAGAGAGAGTGATGATTGGAGATCGCCCTACAAGGGGCCGGATCACCTCGGGGGGAGTCAGGAGACAAGGTTCTGCACTTTCCTTAGATCTCCTATATCCCGGGGGGGGCAGACACAGGGACACAGTGTGCAGCTAAAGAGAACGTCCAGCCTTTGTGGTGTCTTTTATCTATAAAGTTGGGTGTGAATTGTGTGATTGGAGTCTGTGTCTTCTGTCTATGCCCAGCTGCTATATATATATATATATATATTAACCAGTTCCCTACCGCCCTATAGCAGAAATACTGCTACAGGGTGACACGGGTGCGCAAAATCACATATATATATATATATACACGTCATTTTGCAATTCTGGGTAGGGGGCACACAAGGTGCGTGCACACCCTACCCGCACCTCCATTCACAGCCGCGACTTTCAATCTCCGGGTCCCGGCCGGTGATTACTCGCCGGCGCCCAGTGATTACCAAGGATCTCCGACGGGGAGGAGAACTGTTTTGTTTACTAACAGTCCTCCTACCCTGTCAGCTGGGGCACAATGCACAGCACAGCCATCCAGAGCAGTGTGATTACAGTGAAGCACACAGACCCCGCCCCCTAGTAAAACACGCCCTACACCCTTTGATCACCCTTCCTGTTCACCCCTTCCTGCTCAGTGTCATTAGTACGGTGTCAGTGCTTCTTTTTAGCACTGATCACTGTATTGGTGTCACTGGGGATGTCAGTGACACCAAGTCAGTTCCCCCCCAGTGTCAGAATGTCCGCTGCAGTCCCGCCATAAGTCGCTGATCGCCGCCATACCTAGTAAAAATGAAAAAAAAAAAAAATTCCCAGTATCTATCCCGCCATTTGTAGACGCTATAACTTTCACGTAAACAAATTAAATTTTTTACACGTATCGGGATTTTTTTTTTTTAGCAAACAGGAGCAGGAGACATTTTGGCCGAAATTTACAACGAAATTTGATTTACTGGACATGTTAAATCGCAAATAGTCAATTCTTTTTTTTCTTTTTTATAGCGAAAAAGAAAAAAAAAAAAACCTAGAGGAGAGATCCACCAAAAGAGAGCTCAATTCGTGGGGGGAAAAAACAAAAAAAAAACATTTGGGTGCAGCGTTGCACACGACCGCTGAATTTTCACCTAAAATAAATGCAGCGCCGTAACCCAAAAAAAAGGCCTGGTCTGGAAGGGGGGGGGGGGTTTAAAAATCGTTAAAGTCCATTTTGTTGATTTTCTTTTTTTTTTTTTTTTCCTGTTGGTTGGGTTCTTGAGTTGTAAACCACACAGACTGCCACTTTTTTTCGGTGTAGAGGCTTTGAGAGATCGTTCTTCATAACGAACAGTAACAAAGTGGTAGTGTCACCGGTGGAAATGGTGAAATGGTCCCAGCAGTGAAAGGGTTAAGGTTGAGAAAAAAATATATATATATATTATGCAGGCCATAGATGGGTCGCAAAAATCGGTTTTGGTCGCCGAAAATAAAATCGGCCGATTTTTCGGATCGTTAGTGGGTGATTTTGGTCGGCCCGTTTTTCGGGATTTTGGCGTTTTTTTTTTTTTTGGTAAAGTGGAAAAAAATTCGGCCGAACGACGGCCAATTTTTTTTCGCAGGCATAAATAATGGGAAATCGGTTCCGGCCGAGAATTTTTTACCGATAAAAAAGTTGCGCATGAGCAGTGACCTAAGTGCGGAAGACAAAAAGAAGAAGAGGAGAAGAAGAGGAGGAAGAAGAAGATGAGGATGAAGAAGAGGATTGAGGAAGAATGAAGAAGAGGAGTGAAGAAGAGGAAGAATTTTCGCGGCATTAATGGAAGAGAAGAAGAAGAGGATTTTTGATAAAGAAGATGAGGATGAAGAGGACCTGCAAGAGGATGACAAAGAAGAAGAAGAGGAATGAGGAAGAAGAAGAAGAGGATGAGGATGAAGAAGATGAGGATGAAGAGAAAGATGAGGATGAAAATGAGGATGAGGAAGGAAGAAGAAGAAGAAGAGATGAGGATGGAGATGAAGAAGAAGGAAGGATGAGAAGAAGAGATGAGGATGAAAGAAGAGGATGAGGAGGAGATGAAGAAGAAGAGGATGAAGAAGAAGATGAAGAAGATGAAAAGATGAGGGGAAGAAGAGGATGAGAAGAAGATAGGATGAGGAAGAAGAAGAAGAGAGATGAGGAAGAAGAGGAGAGGATGAAGAAGAAGAAGAAGAAGAAGAGGATGAAGAAGAAGAAGATGGATGATGATGAAGAAGAAGAAGAGGATGAGGATGAAGAAGAAGAAGAAGAAGAAGAAGAAGAGGAAGTGGAGGATGAAGAAGAAGAAGAGAGAGAAGGGATGAGGATGATGAAGAAGAAGATGATGAATGAAGAAGAAGAAGTAGGATGAAAATAATAAGAAGAATTCCAGTCCAGCAAAAAGTATCTCTGCAGAGAGCTCCGCTATTTCTGACAGTTCTCTGACAGTTCCTTCACATTTACAGCGGTTGAAACATTGTATCTATTTGTTTCCGAATAAAAACATCTGTATCCTAAATGGAAACAAATAGATACAATGTTTCAACCGCTGTAAATGTGAAGGAACTGTCAGAGAACTGTCAGAAATAGCGGAGCTCTCTGCAGGGACACTTTTTGCCGGCTCTAGACGGGATGAAAATCGGCCGATTTTTTTTACCATTGATGGTAACGTCGGCCGCTTGAACGACCGAATTTTCGTTTTTTAAAAGAAAAATCTGCCGTTTTTTCTCTCCCATCTATGGCCTGCATTAGTCTGAGTCATATATAGCACTTTGATTTTCTAGTTTAGTCGTTAATTGTTACAAATCTCATGATCCCATCTCGTTATCCCCATCCAGCTACTGCCGGCCATACGCGGGGTCGAATTCCGAAGGAGTTTTCTTTCGAAAATGTTTTCTAAGAATTTTCGTTGGAATTTCACACCATTGGTGGGTCACAGAAACGGACGATTTTCGTGTGACCATCGAAGTTGAAGTTTGAGTGATCGGGCATGTTGGAAATTTTATGAAAAATGAACGAATTTCAAATCAATGATGGGAGGATCGTGCGGGAAGTATAAATGAAAAAGAAATGAGTTGTGACCTGGAAATAAAAGAAAATTCTTGGCCACGAAAATTCTTTTCTGTAGCAACATGAGGGGGGGAATTGAAGGCTTGATTGGTTGAATTTTGAAATCAATGGTGGTGCCATCGGGTTATAAAACGCACAAAATTTCAGATTTTCGAAAGAAAATTCGTTCGGAATTTGACCCGTGTATGGCCTGCATTATGCAGGCCATAGATGGGTCGAAAACCGGCCGTTTTCTTTATAAAAAAAAAAAGAAAAATCGGTAGTTCGATCGGCCGACGTTACCGCAACGGTAAAAAAAAAAAAAAAAAATGGCCGATTTTCGTCCCGTCTACGGACGGCATTTAATTACTTCTGTCCCTTGCAGAGAGCTCCAGTATTATATTTGACATGAAAAAGTATTGCGGTTGCAACAATGTATCCATTTTGGATATAGAGGTTTTTATTTGGATACAAATAGATACATTGTTGCAACTGCAATTTTTTCTTCCTCCTCCTTCATCCTCCTCCTTCCTTCTTCCTCCTCCTTTTTTTTTTTTCCAACTTTACCGATAAAAAAATGTGCCGAAACCCTGAAAAACAGAAAAAGAAGAAGAATTAGAATTCCAGTCCGCTATTATATTTGACATGAAAAAGTATTGCGGTTGCAACAATGTATCCATTTTGGATATAGAGGTTTTTATTTGGATACAAATAGATACATTGTTGCAACTGCAATTTCTTCTTCCTCCTCCTTCTTCCTCCTCCTCCTTCTTCCTCCTTCCTCTTCCTCCTTCTTCCTCTTCCTCCTTCTTCCTCCTTCCTCTTCCTCCATTTTTTTTTCCAACTTTACCGATTAAAAAAAATGTGCCAAAACCCCGAAAAACAGAAAAAGAAGAAGAATTAGAATTCCAGTCCGCTATTATATTCGACATGAAAAAGAAACGGCCGATTTTCGTGTTACCATCGAATTTGAGTGATCGGGCATGTTGGAAATTTTTTTTAAAACGAACGAATTTCGAATCAATGATGGGAGAATCGGCAGGAAATATAAAGCTGTGACCTGGAAAGAAAAGACAATTCTTGGCCACGAAAATTCTTTTCTGTAGCAACACGAGGAGAAATTGAAGGCTTGGTTGGTTGGTGGCGCCATCGCATTACAAAACACACAGAATTTCCAATTTTCTAAAGAAAATTACTTCGGAATTCGACCCGTGTATGGCCTCATAAGTCAAAGTTTATTGAGTTTCCACTTGGAGCCAGGAAACCACCTGAAATTCCAGGATTAGATGTGAGTCATTCCTAAATCCCTCCCGGTGTTTGATCTCCGGAGATGACATTTTTTCCTCTTTAGGTGTTCAGTGTTCCTGGCCGACACAGGTAAGGGCTCTTCTCTTCCAGCTTGTAGGTTTATATTTTTTATTACTATACAGGATCTACTTCGTGCCAAACATAAAAGGAGACTGCACAGTTACAATAGAACTGAAAACAAGAGGGTCAGGAGGGCCCTTCTCATGGGAGCCCTCAGGAGGGGAGAAGGCAATGACTGTTGGGGATGAGTGGATGGAGAAGGTTCTTCCTTCAGTAGTTTCAGTTTCTAGAGGTAAGATAGGCTTCCATGAAGAGATGAGTTTTCAGAAATCACCTAAAGGTGGACACAGTGGCATAGCATGGTGGGGTGGGGACTGGGGTGGGGGGGGGGGGGCAGCCGGTACGGTCGCCCCGGACACAACATTGTGAGGGACGCAGACTGTGCTAAAGCCTCCTGTCCCTCAGCATAGACCACATCCAGACATGCCAGGCCTTTCCCCCACACAGAATCAGCAGCACCCTGAAGTCCCACCATTGGCCGGGAGCAGGCTGGACAGAATGAAGGGTGAGCAGGGTTCGATTGTGACACCCGGTGTCAGAATTTGCCGGAGTTGTTGTCCTGGAGGTGATCATGGGTGGAGGTGAAGA